GGGACGCCAAGTGGACAAGCATGGGGCTGGTCACCACTCGGAACAGTCCCCTGTCCCACCACGGCCCCCAGCGGAGTCAGCCACGCGGCGTCTCAAAAGACCTTTAAACTTCTACTGTCAAAAAAAAGAATAACCGAGGGCCGCGGATCTAGCTCAGTGGTTCCGCTGCCTGCCTCACAAGTGCAAGGACCGGAGTTCGATCCCCGGTACCAGAAAAACAAAAGAATAACCGTAGCCAGGTGTGGTGGTGCACACCTGTCATCCCAGCTCTTGGGAGGCTGAGGCAGGAGGAGTGCCATGAGTTTGAGGCCAGCATGGGCTACATATCTGTGTTCTAGTCCAGCCTAGAATACATAGCAGGACCCTGTCTCAAAAATAAATAAATAAAGGCCCGGGGATTTAGCTCAGTGGTTTCACTGCCTGCTGCGCAGGCTCAAGGACCCGAGTTTGATCCCCAGTACCAATAAATAAATAAATAAATAATAATAATGATCTCAGACAGACAATATACACTCATGGTCCAGAGAGAACCCTTTGAAAATAAGAGTAATCGAGCAAGCCCTCAGAAGTGCTGGCCCCTGGGCCTTTCCTGGGGCCACGCCGATGCCAGGGGCTCTATCCTCCAACCTCCTTCTCGGCCGACCCCTGGGTGACTCTGAAGTGAGTTTTCCTGGGAGCCTCCTTCGGGCCCACATTGTCATTTGCGGCTCGATCCCTTATCTGCACCTCTAGAGCTGCACAAGCTTAAGAAGAAAACCCCAAGATTCCGTGTGGTTTCTGTGGCCCCCCAAATCTGCCCCGAACTGACGTGGGGTTGTTTACACCCTCCCTCTTCCTGGTGAGCACAAAGATTCCCACCGTGGCTCCAGAAATACACTGTGTTTGCTCGGTCCTGCCACACCTCTCGGGGGCCTTGCCATGTGACACGCAGCCGGGGGCAGTGGAGCATGTGTCTGTTACACGCGGGAGGGCATCCCGAGAACGGCCAGCAAGACAGCCCAGCTCTGCCACTGTACGGCCACGGCGTTAGACCCTCCTGCCCCTTCCCACTCCTGCCGTGTCCTGGAGATGCACCCCAATGTCAGTGACTTTGAAACTGTGGCCCGTGGCCTGCCTGGCTCAGCCTCCCAGGGAGCCCATTAAACACATGGGCTTCCTGATCTTTGTCCCCAGGCAGACTGGCCTCGGCTCTAAACAGGTCAGCGCCATTCTGGACCCACTGAGTCAGAGGCCCTGGGTCCAGGCTGACAGGGCACAGTCCCCACTCCTGCTGGAAATGGCCTCAAAGCCGTCGACCTTGGTCACACAGCCAGACACTGCCACCCTGCCTGCTCCCTCCCAGACCTGACCTCACTGTGCATTTCAGGGAAAGTGGCAGGGAGCAGTGCCCTCCCTGTCCCTCTCCTTCTCCCCAGAACCACCACATATTTCATCTTAATGCAGCCTGCCGTCCTCTCTCCCTGCATTACTTTTTTCCAGAGTAAATCATTCCTTCCTCCCATCCATCTACCCTTCTACCGACTTAGCCCTTACCACCCACCCACCCAACCATCTACCCTTCCATTGGCCCACTCCTCTGGCCTTCCAAGCATTCACCCACTGATCCACCCATCTCCCCACTCACCCAGCCACCTATCTTTCCATCCATCTGCCCACCGTCATCCTCACTCCCGGCCGCCACCATCTGCCCATCTGGTGCCACCAGACGCTGAAGAATCTCAGTGCAATGAATGAATGGGGAGCTTCTCTGAGCAGTGTACTCAGTCACCTCAGGGAGAAGGGAAGAGAGGCCTGGAGCAAGGTCCTCCCCGTGCTCCTACTCCCTGGCTGGCATCAGCTGAGGTCCCCTCCCAGGTGCCAGCACCCAATGAAGGCTGGGCCCCCACCCTCAGGGACTTGCAGGTGTGGGGAGGTGGGTGGAGCAGGTGACCACACTCATGAATGCATAAGCACAAGCAGCAGTTAGTATGCAGGGGAACAAACACCCGGCCTGTCCCCTGGGTCCTGAGTCAGCCTCGGGCCAGAAGCCCCTGTGGGATCAGTGGCTGCAAGGCTGGACAGGGACTGGGCTGAAGTGGAAGGGGGTGAGCCAGAGGACTGGGGGGGAAGTGACAACGCGCAAAAGGAGAAAATGGGAAGTGGGGCCAAATCAAAGTTAAGAAGGGTGGGAATGGGCCAGGGATTTAGCTCAGTGGTTCCACCACCTGCCTTACAAGCATAAGGTCCTGAGTTCGATCCGCGGTACAAAAAAAAAAAAAAGAGGGGGGGGGGCAAAAGGAAGAAAAGGAAAACCCTTCAACTACAGAATTTCCAGGCAAAAAACCATCGTTTATAACTAAAAAGATTTCAAAATAATCATTTCTGGCTGGGGTTGTAGCTCAGTGGTTCCACCACCTGCCTTACAAGCATAAGGTCCTGAGTTCGATCCGCGGTACAAAAAAAAAAAAAAGAGGGTGGGAAGCTGGCATGGTGGTGCACACCTGTGATCCCAGCACTCTGGGAGGCTGAGGCAGGAGGATCACTGACTCAAGCCCAGCCTGGGCAACTTAGTGACTCATGAGACCCTGTCTCCAAATAAAAAAGGGCTGTAGATGTAACTCAGTGCAAAGGTCCTGGATTCAGTGCCTAGGATGAAAAGGTGAAAGAATGACACAAAGCTGCTGCCGCCCTGGGTGGGCTGGACAGAGGAAGAGGAGCCGGCTCCTAAGCTGGGACCACAGACATGAGGATTCACCAAGCAGACGCTGCCTGAGGTGGGGAAGGAGGGAGGGAGGAGAGAGACAGACAGACAGGTGTGGGGGGCTTGTCCCTCGGTCCCCTCTGGGCATCCAGGGAGCTGGGAGGTGAGGTTTGAAGGATCCACCTGCACCCAGGTGAAGGGGAGGAGCAGAGCCCACCTGCTCCAGGTAGAAACGAGGCGGGGGAGGAGGGAAGGGTGCAGGGGACAGAGACAGAGCAGCGTGTGCAAAGCCACCTTGTCCCAGGTCACCTGGACACCGGGCAGGGCCACGGCTGGGGAGCCTGGCCTCACCCTGGGAGCAATGGAGCCTGGAGAGGTTTACACGCGAGGTAACCACAGTGTCGGGTGCTCTGTGAGGAGGTGCTGCTGCTGGGGACAGGGCCCGGCCCAGGCCTCGGTGTCCCCTGCCCTGGGACAGCAGGAGGCAGCTGCAGCAGCCTGTGTGGCCACAGCACCTGCTGCCTCCCGCCTTCCCCTCTCAGGCCGAGTGCCGGGAGGGGCCTGGCCCAGCCCTCCCACCTCAGCCTCCGAGGGGCCCCTGCTGCCGACAGGCTGGGCAGCAGTTCCAGCCCTGCCTTGCCTGTCCTGGGTGCTTCCTGGCTGGTTGCGCCCTGGGGAGTCTTCTGGAAGGTGGTGGGGGCACTGGGGGTGGCCGCGGGCCCCAGGACCCTGAGACACATCCTCCGTGTCTCTCGGGACCAAGGCCAAGTCTGTCCTCCCTTGAGCTACGCCAGCAAGCAGTTGGGGCAGAACCTCAGCACCACACGTCCCCCTTCCAGGAGGGAGGCGAGAGCACTGGGGCACGGGAAGGCCGGGCTCCAGTCCTGACCCCTGGTGACCTTGAGTGCGGCCGGGCTGTGCCTGACTCTGGGAAGCAGAGGCAGAAGCATCTCCGAGAGAACTGAGCCTGTCACAGCAGGGTGAGGCGTGGCTGCTCCCACATCCAAGTGGACCAGGGAAATGTGAGTCTGGCAGAGCCAGAACGCACGGCTGGAGTCTGAAGTCAGAGACAAAGCCATGCGGTTCTCAGTGTGGGCTCCGGAGAGACAGCCTGGGCTGGAATCCCAGATCTGTGGCTTAGAAGCTGTGTGACGCGGGGCAAGCTAGCTCCTGTGCTCAAATGTGCACATCTGAGATGCAGGATTTATCTGTGCGCTCATCTCACTGGGCACTGGAAGGATGGCTTGGGATGATGCCTGCGGTTCTGGACCAGACTCTGAGCCTCCCTTGGAGACACATGCGCCACAGGGCACTGCTGCCTGCAGCCTGCGCCCGTCCAACCCCCTGGGCAGGAGGAGCTGAGCCCAGAGTGGAGCTCGCCAGGGACTGAGCGCTACTGTTTGGGGGAGCCTGCCCTGGGACAGCTGGAACGTTCCCCATCACGAGAAGACCTGGGCGGGTTGGAATGCAAAACCGTGTTTCCCCTTTCAGAGCGAGCCTGCCTGTGTATTTCTGGCCTGTGAAAGGAACACAGTGTCGGAGCCAGGGCAGAAAAGCCGCATGTGCGTGCACGGCCCAAGGAAAACACGGCCACCAAGCCCTGTCCTCTGCCGCCTGTGGGGCCTCCCCGGGCTCAGGTGGGCGGTGGACTGAGGGGCCAGGCCGGCCGGTGGGCAGGCAGCTGCGGGGGTGACAGGGCTGGGAACCGGGAGCCTGGGGGTCACAGCAGCCGCCAGAGTGTGACCGAGAGTGCGTCAGTGTGCCGCAGAGTGCGCGCGCACCCACCTCCAGGTCAGCAAGTCTGCCCTTAGGTGTCTACCAAAGAGAAAGGCATTGTGTGCTTCCTCTTTCTTTCTTTTTTTTTGGAGACAGGGTCTTGCTACGCAGTCCAGGCTGGTCTTGAACTCATTATGTAGCCCAGGCTTGCAGAGACCCTCCTGCCTCAGCCTCCTGAGTGCTGGGATTACAAGGTGTATGTCACCACCCACCCGGCCGTATTATGTGTTTTCAAGAAAAGGCATGGACTCAATGCTTAGGAAAAAACCACTCCAGGCCCCAGCTTCGGATGGAGACTCCCTCAAGCCCAACAATGGATAAGGCACAGCAGACTCTCCACCAGGGGACCACTGTGCATCACCAAACAGGAGAGAGGGCTGCTGCTCGAGAGCACAGGGCGGGGTTGGGGTGCGCTCAGGTGGAGCACAGTCTCAGCACACTAGAGGCCTGGGTTCCAACTCCAGCATCACAGAATAAAAAGCAAAGCACCCCAAACGGGAGATTTTCACAGACGTAACATGGAGCAGGAAGTTGGACCCCAAGATCACGTGTGGTGAACTTCTACCTCAACGGTACAAACATGGCCCGCACCACCTCAAGCCACGACCCAGCCACCCTTGGAAACGCTATGAAAAGCAGAAGAGCCAGATGCAAAGAGCCGGGGCTGCACGATCTCCTTGGTGCAAAGCGTCCAGAGCAGGCCAGTCCACAGGGACAGAAGGTGAATCCAGGTGCCAGGTGCTGGGAGGGCGCGACAGACGGACGGGATGACGACCAGGACGAGGTTTCTCTTCCGGGTGAGGAAAGCGGTCTGGAACCGGCTGCGCTGGGGCTGCACAATGCGGTGAATTCACTCACACGGACTGGGAGCTGTGGGGCTGTGGGCTGTACCTCGATAGAGCGGCTAAGAAGTCCGGAGTCAGAACTTGGGGCGCCTGCAGTCCTGCCTGTGAGTCCTCACTCTCGGCAGGGGGACACAGGAGCCTGACAGCAGGCACGCTGCTGGGAGCTGGACTCGTGGCACTTCTAGGTGACCCCACTGGGGTGTCCAGCTTGGGAGAACTCGGCGAGATGCCCTGTTTCTGTCGAGGGGCGAAACTTCAGTTAGAGTTTTTAAGAAACACAACACCCCAGTTGAACACTAGATACAAGCTTCAGGGCCACCGTACATTCCCGTCGATGAGTCCAGCAACAGCTCAGCAACTGCATAAATAACAGGCCAGGGAGGCAGCTGGCAGCTGGGCTTGGAACACACTGCAGTGACTCAGAGAACAGCTGGAAAGAATCTGGGGCCGCTCACTTCCTGGCCCTCCTGTGCCAGCCCACTGTAGAGCTCCAGTACCCGGGCTTGGGGACCCCAGGCTTAGGGTGACGGCCGCCGGTGGAGCCATGGGCAGGTCCAGAAGGCAGCCAGTGAGCTCCGACCATCAGCTTCATTGGCAGGACCCAGCAAGGGACAAGGATGCCTTTATGGGGATGGGTCAGGCAAGGTGGGCCTGCAGCCGGGTGGTGAGTGAGGCGCCCAGGCCAGGCTGGCCGACACCACCCAGCTCAGGGACCGCGGGGACACGGTCACTGTTGCAGGCATCAGCGTCCCTCCCATGCGTCAAGGTGCTCAACAGCACAGCCCTCTTTTCAGATGTTTTGTTGCGAGACCTGAGGGAAGCAGCTCATTCTGCATCCAGCGACTCCCCGTAAACGAGTCCTGAGACACAAACTGGCTTCTTGTTCACACTGCGGCACACCAGGACCCCCTGCTACCGTCCACGTCTGTCCCTCCCCTCCTCGCTCACCCACGCCCACCGTCCCCAGGCCCCATGAGGCTTGGACATGTGGGAACCACCCCGGCGCTGACCGCTGTGTTGCTGCTGCCCGATCAGCCATCCGTAGAGGAGCAGGCGGCAGCGGCAAGTGTGTCTCGGAGCTCGGAGCTCGGAGCTCGGGGGATTTATGCGGAGCGTCTGCTGTCCTCCCCTCACAGGTCAGCACTGCCGGCGGTGATCGTTTATCAAAGGCGTTTTACGAGGCCCTGAAGTTCACGGCAAAATCCTTGGATTAGGCGAGAGGGCGGGCCGGGTGGGGGATGGTGTCTCCCAGAGCCAGACAGATTCTGTGTCAGGTTAGGGGAGAAGGCGAGGTTTTAGGGGACGCGATTCTGCTCAGAATCATACCCCACGCACTGATCTTTAATTGCACAAATACAAGGTGTGAATTTTTTAACCAAGGAACTCTGTAGCATATGACATATTTCTGCCTACTTTATCTGAGGCTCCGGAGATAAAAAAAAAAAAGTTCCCCTCACCCCCACTCTCAGAGACCCCAGAATTTATAAAAAGGAACAAATTCTAAGACAGAGTCCCCAACACACTGTGCACATTTCAAGTTCACAGTGAACAAATCCGCAGTTCACCTGCGTGACACACGATGAAACATCACCAGCCCTGCTGGCTGGCCCTAGCTCCAGGATTGTACCCGAGAGCAACTAACTCCCTACCTCTTGGAGCCTCAGTTTCCCCACTCCTAAAGCAGAGAGAATGCTTCCTGCCAGGCCTCTTGAGCCACCAGATGTGAGACAGTCCCCAGGCACGAGGCCTGCATAAACCCCAGGGTCTTATTTTTATTGTTAGCATTACATTCTTCCTGAGAAGGAGGACATATTTTTGCCAGACGCCTGCCACGTTTGGAGCTCCTTCTGAGGAGAACAGAGAGGTGCTTGCCTCGTTCTTAGGCAAAAAGAAAAGAGAAAAAGAAAGAGAAAAGACAAAATAGGGCAGTCAGATGATGCGTTGTGTTTCTGGTCCCCAGCGAGCCAGAGGCCAGACACATGCAGGCTGCACAGGCACAGGCAGGGTGGAGCCGCCCAAGGGGGTACTGTGTCCTGGGAGAGCTGCCAAGATTCAGGCGGGTGGGTTAGAGGGAACAGGAAGAGGGCAAAGGTCCCCGGAGGAGGGAGCCGGGTCACTGGGCTGGCGACGCGGGAGCGTGGGGAGGATTTCAGTTCCAATGGAGCTCTGGGGAAGAGGGAAGGATGCAAGAGACCCTGCAGAGCAGCTGGGGGTGGGGTTGTGGGCCTTGGGGACCACGCTGAGGTTGGGGACAGAGTCAGCTTCCTTAGACCAGCACTGATGGAGCCGCAACCCTGACGTGGGCCCTGTGACCCCCAAATTGTACAGGCGGAGGCTGAGGGGAGAAGCAGGAGACCACACAAACACGACGTGTGGCCGGTGCTGGACTGGGAAGGAGCCTCCTGCAGGGACCCAGGGCATGCGTGGGACCCAGACACCTCTGCAGGTGGCTGCGAGTCCGGGATGCACACAGCTGCCCAACTGACGGCCTCTGGTCCGTGGGGAATGGAGCGGACAGTGCTTGAAACGGCTGCTTTGCATCACTGTCATCCTCTCTCCCAGTGTGAACGCAGGCCAGTTTGTGTCCAGGCAGGAACCCGCTAGCATCCTTAGGTGCAAAATTGGGAACACATGGGCTGGACTCAGGCTGTTCCTGTCCAACAAGCTGGATTTGGGGTTCAGCAGCTCTGACCAGCTGGCAGAGTGGGGGCAGTTCCAGGCCCCTGAGCCTCAGAGCTGGGGCAGGTTCCTCCCTCCTCACCTGTGAGCTGGATGCAGCAGAACCCACCATGGGAGTCGGCGCCTGGGAGGCACATCGAGGGTGTGGCTGCCCACGACACCTGTAGCTGCTCCCCTGGCCAGAGAGGGTGCTTCCCCCTTTTGTCTCCATTCCTCCTCCGCCATCGCTAGTGAGTATGCTGCTTTGTTATTGTTCTTTCCCAGATAGGGAAACTGAGGCTCGGAGAGGTTAGTGGCAGGCCAAGGCCACACAGCGAGTACCCAGAGGGGCTGTGGCCTCAGGCTGTTGTGCCCAGCTGTGCTCCTCACCACCCACCTACAGATGACTGACGTCTGTCACTCACCTTCTTCCTTCTCTGCCTGTGCCAGGACACTTCCCTGAGTCACTAGGGCACGGAGAGAAAGAAACACGCAGGCGGACACCACCCACTTCCCCTGCTGATCCGCTCCACACATGGACACACGCACGCATGCGCGCACATCTGCACTGTGCACACACGTGCACACAGCCATGCACGCAGATGCATGCACAGCACATACATACATTAGCACACGAACACGCACACACACAGGAAGCTCTTCTGGAGGGGCCTGCTTAGCAGAGAAAGCCCCGGATTCCCATCGCCCCCTCTTGTCCCATTGGTGGGTCTCAGTGGCGCCACACACTGCGCAGGGCCAGCAGGGGCACCCCACATACCACCTCTGCACCTGAGCACACTCTCTGCTGCCTCTGGCCTCTGCCCTTGGGCCCCACGAGTTGGGCCCATTAAGTGGGCTGCCCAGCTTCCCATAGCTGGCCAGGGAGGGGAGGAGGGGACAGGACCGGGACTGGGGCTCGTGGGGCCTGAGCACAGAGCAGGCCCTGGATATGCAGTGACCAAGACAGAGGCAGGTTCTGCTCTCTGGAGGGGGCACTAGGACCCCTGGGGGGCATGGAGGGGCAGAGAGGGAAGAGCAGACGAAAGAGGAGAAACCCAATGGCAAACTCCCAGGACCTGTCTCAGGGGAAGACTGGAAGCCACTGATGTCACTGTGCCCAGGGCCACCAAGACAGCTGCAGGGCTCCACAGAGAGCGCTGCGGGGTGGGGGGGGGCAGCCTTGGCAAGCCTAGGGGACCCCGTCCACCCAGAGACCCGGCTCCCATGGGGCCGTCGTTTGCCCAGACAGCTTTCCGTCTGGGGACCCAGCAGGCCCCGTGACTGGCAGGCACACAATGGACCAGACCTTGCCCGTAGGACCTTCCTAACCAGTGCTTCTCACCAGGCATTAAAAGGGCCAGGAGCAGCCCCCACCACCACGTTCTTCCGGACAGTGTGCTGAGCCAGCACTTTCCTGGGCCCCGAAGAGGCCCCAGGCCCACGTCCCTGCCTCCCCGATCTTCCTGTTAAACCTGGGGCTGAGTCCTGGAGTGTCCACCAGGGACTCCCGAGGGCCCTTTCCCTTCCTCCATGTATTTACAACACAAGGGCCTCTGTGCCAAGGGGAAGCCCCGCTTCATTTCCACGTCTGCACCCCTGAGAGCAGAGGGGCCCTTCCAGCCCTTCGTGCCGGGACTCTAGGCTCCAGCTGCCGGCTCAGGACAGCTGTGGAGGGCTGGGAAATCGCACTGGAACCCTGAAGCTGGACGAGTATCAAGTCACCGAGGGGCCACTGAGGTCCAGAGAGGGCTCCTAGGCCCAGCCCGAGAGGGAGGCTGGGGGGGGGGGGTCCTGGCTCCATCCTCAGAGGCTGATGTGGACCAGATGTCAGCCTCTGGAGGCCCAGGGTCTGAGAGGCACCTCAGCAGTCAGCGCTGCCTCCTTCCTATCAGTGCAATGGGCTCATCGAGAGCAGGCCGAGCCGATGCCCGAGCTGCCCAGTACTCTGTGGGTGCTGCTGTGTTGAATGCAGTGAGGTTTGTGAAACAGCAGCTCTCTGGGCAGCTCCTGTCTCAGACTGTGGGGAACCTGCCCTGGACACTCAGTGCCCTTTCTACCTCTGCCTGCGGTGGGGAGAGGCGGTGGCCTGAGGACTCTGTCCCCAGGGTGATGCACTCACTAACGGGTGGGAAGAGACCAGGGCCAACTCTTGCTGTCTGCAGAACTGGAGCACAGGGCTCTGAAGGGTGTTCCCGCCCCTGGCTTGCGTGGTGCCCATTCAGAGCGGGGAGGGTCGCCCTTCCTTACCTGGCTCCTCCCACGTCCCGCTTGACCTCTGCTGAAAAACCAGCCTGGGACGCTGCCGGGTGTCCCAGGTCCCCAGGAGACCCTGGAGCCGCAGGCGCTGGAGCGGGAGGGCCCCTAATTGGGGCCATGAATCACGGCGCGCGGCTGGGGCTGGACACAAAATAGATAGAGGCGCCGGCGAGCCGCGCGGTGCGAAGTGTGGGGCGCGGAGGGGAGGAGGGAGGAGCGGGGGAGGCGAGGGGGAGGAGGAGCAGGAGGAGGAGGGGAAGGGGGAAGGGAAGAAGAGGAGGAGGAGGAGGAGGAGGAGGAGGAGGAGGAGGAGGTTGGGAGGGCAGAGAGGAGGAAGGGGGGGGAGGAGGAGGAGGATCCCGCCCCGCAGCCCCGCCCCCTCCCGGTTAAATGACCCGGCCTGGCCGGCGCCGCGCTGCACATGCGGCCGCCGCTCGCGCCGCCCAGGCCTCTGAGGCCACCGCCGCGTTCCGGGCGCTCGCGGGCGCTGAGGCCGCCGCGGGGGGCGCGGGGTCCGGGGGAC